GTACGCTGCCAGGACGTACCCCAATGCCTCAGCCCCATCCGCTGGAGAAGTGAGCGGCGCAGTGGGCTGGTCTTCCAGGGAGGGGTCTGTGCTGGGCTTGCATGTGCACCCGAGCAGCATGGGGAACGGGGGGAGGGGGGGGGTTCTCATGTCTCGCAGGAGCGGGCCCCACCACGGCACAGGCCTCTCCACCCGATCTGACAGAGCAGCGCTAGCCGGCTGTGGAGCGCGTGCGCGGAACCGGAAGTCCGCCAGTCTTCGCTTCTTGAGGGGCCCTTCAAGGCCCTTAAGCTGAGGCTTCTCTATGGCCCACGGCTGCTGCTCGTGCGGGGAACTGGTGAGGCAAGGGGGAGCGGTAGCGGCACCTGCCCCGGGGAGAGGGATGGGTGAGAGCCCCTGCCCCATTAGAGTGATCCTGGTGAGTTCAGGCTGCCATGGCAACAAGCTGCTCTTCTGCTTCCGCTTCCAGCGTGGAGCGCCTGGCTGCCCAGGCCGATAAGTGACAGCGCGGGAACTGCAGGCTGGGCGGCCGGGCGCACAAAGCTTGGTGCCAATAGCAGGGGAAGAGTGAGGTGGGGGTTGGGCTCTCCTTGGGCTGAGGGGCTGGAGGTGGGGGTGGGAGCAGTTTGGGGGCCAGTGTCCAGGTGCTGACGGGGGTGGTTCCTGAGGTGACGGTAACGGGGCGGGAGGGAGGCGATGGCCCTCATAAAAGGGGCAAAGTTGGAGAAGTGGGGGGTTATTCATAGTGTGTGTACGGATGCAATGCAAAATAGCACACGACAAGATTAATTACCATAATGAATATGCAAATGTTTCTACGCCAGTCCGCCAAAAGTTTTTGAATGCGTTTGCCGGTCTGTGGTAATAAAAAGGTCGGGAACCATTGCTCTGGTTAGTCTGTTCCTGAGCAAGACCCTTGCACAGACTGTTACGTATGTATAGCTGCAGGGCAAAGGAGTGTGGGCATTGTACGTAGGGATGTAATAAGTGATTAAAAAGTTATCTGGTTAAATCACTAAAGTTATAATGTTTAACTGGTTAACCATTGGCCAGGCTCCCACCTGGCCTTCTCCAGTGTGGCCAGGGCTAGGGTCCATGCGGATGGGGCCATGCCTGCCCTCTCTGGCCCAGCTGGGACCAGGGTCCCTGTGCGCTGCTCTGGCGGGGTCAAGGTCCTGCCAAGTCACCCAGGCTGCTCCAGTGCACCTGGGGCTGGAGTCCCACCTGCCTGCTTCAGCACATCTGGGGCTGGGGTTCTGCTGGCTTGAATGGGATGAGTTGGAGCGGCCGGGGCTGGAGTTCCATCTGGCCGCACTGGCATAGCCAGAGCCAGGGTCCTCCCAGCTCACCCAGGCAGAGTTGGAGCAACAGGACCCTGCCTGCCACCCCCACATGGCCAGGTTTTGCCGGCTTGATGCAAGCGCAGTCCTGCCTGCTGCGGTTGGCTGTCCAATCGGTTATTCGGCAAGTATTCCGGTTAGGAATGTGAATGTGTAACCATTTACATGGTTAACCTGATGCAGAGGTGTGTGTGTGTGTGTGTGTGTGTGTGTGTCACTGTTTAGGACAAGTTCTTGCACAAACAGACTCAGATGGATAGATAGACAGATCAACATTTCTAAAAATGTATGAACGGATATAGGGATGATGCTGGGCCTACAGAACCAGACAACCAGAGGAAGAAAGAAACAAATTGTATAAATGAATTAACTTGCAGATATAGTCTCTGTCTTGCACCTTGTTTAATAATTTGGACCAGTGCAAAGTGGATGTGAAATGTAACCTAATAAGAATGGCAATGCTTTTACCCCACTTTGAGCTGTTTTAAATGACTACATACAGAGCAATTAAGAATCTGGCCCATGTAATCAGATTAAATTACTTTAAATCTATATGGGGTGTGAGGGGTGAGGGATTACTTAGAAGTTATAGTGGAAGTCACCAGATGTCACTGTTTAACAAGTTCTGTTTCTTAGCATGTGAACAGCGTGCAGTCTCTGTTATAGTTTTGCAATGCCAGTTCTTTTTGGGAAAGCTGTTGCAAATAGCATGTTTGTGGTCTACTTCTATCTAAACAGAGTTCATTCTTGTGACAAAGTTGCTTCCTCAAAAAATTGGCTATTGGGTTGAAACTAGGGATGTAAAAAGTCAGTTAAATAGTTAAACCTGTAATGGCTGAAAATCTCAGTGTTACATGGTTACACACACTAGGGGCTTTGCAGTATAAAGCTTAGCGAAGCTTTATATTGCAGAGCCTGCAGTAGGGATGTAATAGTGTAGTCGATTAACTGATAAGCAAAAGCTTATAGGTTAATGCTATGGACTACATGCATCCCCCCCCCCCGAGAATTAAATTAATAACAAATAATTGCAAATAATTGATGCACTGTTATCTAAAACAGGAATTAGGGATGTTAAGTAGCAGTTAATTGAATGGTTGAGTAACCTCATGAATTCTTATCAGTTAGTCGATTATTCTATACTGCCCAGGGGTGGGACAGGCAGCCAGTCTGCGCTCCCCCCACACCCAAGGAGCTCCCTGCCACTCCACACTGCTGCCTGTGTATCCGAGGCAGCAGTGCGAGGTGACAGGCAGCCGGTCTGAGAGGGAGCTGGTTTAAAAGCTGGTTCCCCCCAGCACCGTTTCTGCGGCAGGCAGGGGGTAGCAGGGCACCAGGTGCAAGCCAAGAAGCAGCTGATTCCTAGCTCGCGCCTAGTCCCAGATGCTGCACCTCTTCTTTTTAAATGTATTAAGAGCTTGTCAGCTCTTAATACATTTAAACATCAGAAGTGCAGTGGGGGGACCCCGTGTGAGCCAGGAATCAGCAGTCCCAGCCTCACGCGGATTCCCTCTTGCTGCACTTTTAGCCTTTTAAATGTATTAGCCACTAACGGGCTCTTAATACATTTAAAAGGCAGAGCCATAGCGGGGTTAACTCTTGGGCTGGGAGCTAATCGCACTGAGGCTCCCCCGCTTATCGACTAATGGATGGAAACTCCATCTACTACTCGATTAGTTGATTACATTCAATTTAACATCCCTACTTTGGGAGTGGGGCTAGAGCGCACTGGCTTAGCCCTCTGATAAGAATTCATAAGTTAATCGACTGTTCTATTCATCCATATTTAATGTCCCTAGCCTGCAGCAAAGCCTCTCCAGAAGCAGAGCCATCAGCCCCTGCCAGTCCAACTCCTGGAGAGGAGGCTGCCTTGCTGCAGCAAATCTCCTGGGGAGCCACCATGTAACCTGTGGTGGGGGGCACTGGGCCAGGCCACCGTGGACAGGGGTTGCTCCGGCTGGCGGGCAAGCTGCTCCATCCCCTGAGATTAAGGAGAATCAGGTAGAGTGATGCTTGGTGGTTAACCTTTCACATTCCTAGCTGAAACTGGATTTTTTTTTAAAAGGTTTGCCTACATGCCACTTGTGATCACCTTTGTTCCAGGACTGATGTATAATGTAATAAAGCAAGTCACTCTAAGAAAGTGCCACTGATTTCTCCACCAGTGAATAACTAGCTTACAAGGTTTCTGACATCTGCCATTCAGGAGAAGGTCAATAATTCTTTGAAAGGGGATTGGTGTTGCAATTAAGGTGCATAGTAATTGTCTGGCCTCTTTAATGCTATGAGCTTTTATATAAGGATTATGGGCGGGAGTGGGGAGAATTGTTTTAAATTAATGTGATAAGAACCCAGGTTTTGCAGAAGAGAAAGTTAATTCCTCAGGAAGTGTTACAGCCTGTGCAATTTATGATTTTATTTTTGAGGCACCAGCCAGCTACTTTGTAATAACTGTAAAAGCTCTTATCTGGCACTCAATTAACTGGCATTTCTGTTATTTCCCAAAATAAATCTCCAGTCTAGTAACCAGGATACATTAGGCAAGTGCATATTCTGCACTCTACGTGTATGCAGAAGAAGTAGAAGACACGTAAGCAAGCTGAAATCAGGGATTTGTTCAAGAAAGCAGCTTCCAGAATGTGTGTAGGATCATTCCTGAGCTCAATCTCCGACCTATACTACCTATAGCTACAATGATGATTGATGTTAAGGATGACCCTGAGGCATTGCAAGATTCTGATGTGCCATTTCAACCAAAGAAAGATTAAATTATGGTAAGTGTAGTTTTCATGATCTGGGTGTACCCCATGCACTGCCCATAGTGATATGTGGGGTCGTAAAGAGGTAGGTAATTGGCTAACTGTAGTCAATAAAGGAAGGCGCTCAGTCCTGGCTTGTGCTAGATCCAGGAGCTAACCCTGCTGCAGCTCTGTGGTTTAAACATCGTTGGAGCTGGGCGCGCAGGCAGGGCCGGCTCTTACTACATTTAAAATGCAGAGCCACAGTGGGGGTAAATCCTGGACCCGGTGCGAGTCCCGGTATGTGCCGAGTCCGGCAGCCCCTGTCTGCAGAGATGTCCCAGCATGGAGTTAGGACCCCCCATGGACAAGGGCTGCTGCCAGAGCAGCCTGTGTTCAAGGCTACCCTTGGCTGCCACAGATGGGGGCTGCTTCATGGCAGCAGCCCCTGGCCACGGTGGCCCAGGCTGGCTGTGAACACAGGTGCCACAAAGCAGCCCCTATCTGTGGTAGCTGGGGCTGCCTGTGAACAGAGGTTGCTGTAGCAGCAGCCCATCTGCAGGGGGTCCCAGCTCCTCACTGGGACCCCCCCGTGGGCAGGAACTGCTCTGCCAGATGCCTGTCACGGGCAGAGTCTGCTTTGCGGCAGCCTCCCCTGGCCCCCATTCTCTCCTACTGCTGTTTAAGCCTGCTCCCCTCAGCACCAGCTCCTGCCCCCTGCTGCCTCTGATACAGAGGCAGCAAAGGGTGGGGGGAAATGCAAGTAGTCAACCTGACTACCCGATAAGCCCAGGCTTATCAGGTAGTCAACTACATTCCTACTGTATACACTTACATGCTTCATGAAACTCTGCAGTACAGGATTGCTATGGATTAATGAGTACACGTATACTATTTATACATTTTATTGTATTATAATTCTTTGTACATTGGTATTCCATGGGTAAAAGTAGAACTTTCAGTTAACCAGAACATTTGATTAACCGGAATCCCTGATGTGCTAGATAACAGAGCTTTTACTGTATAACACACATTCTTGTCTAATTCACTAAGACAAGATGTTCCTAAAATGGGTGTTTGTTATCAAAGCATAGTTAGAAGTCAGAATGATGCACTGATTATAGCTCAGAGTATAGTGGTACAAATTTTACAAGAACACCCAATGTCATGTCAAGGTCTGTGTTAATCGACCCCTTCATAGGCAGTCAATGTTAAAGAATGCATGGTTGCTCCATCCACTGGGTAAACATGGTCCTTCAATCTGAGCAAGTTGCATGTGATAGCAATGCACTCCTGAAAGCCCTTTTAAAGAGGGAATCGTAATAATCAAGCCTTTTAGTCACAAGGCTGTGTCTTACTTTGTAAGGTTATTATAGGACAACTCGAAGCACAGCACTGTTTGAGTAAGGAATGCAGAAGAGATCTGGAAATAAAAGGGGTAAAAATTTTGTTTTTAAAAAAAATTTATTGCAAAACTCAATATTTCATATCACTTCCAAACTTCACTAAATACATTACAGAACAAACCAGCAAATCCTGTTTTGAATGCATTAAAGCCTGCATTTTCTAGGTCTTTTGTGCACACACATGCATGCACGAATACACATGCACTTGCCTGCTCATGCTATGTACAGAAACTTATTATGCAGCCATTTGTTTACATTATTACTGAATCTGTATTGGAAATCCTTGTAAAAAAGTTACAGTAGAACCTCGTTAATCTGCAGAACAGGTAATCCTCATACATAACCTGGAGGCTTTTCCCACTTCTAAATAAGTTTATAATAGCAAAGTGCTGTAGTGAGGTCTCGTATTACTAAGACTTCATTAATTTTACAGTTATATTCTACAGTACATTTACCAGCATGCCAGAAGTATTAGCATAAATTAAAAATAAACACTTTACAAAAATAAATAGTTTTGTAATGCAGTATCGTGTTTGTTCGCTTACTCGCTAATTCACAAAATCTAGTTGCCTACAGTGGATCTTCCAGTCATTCATGCAACTCATCGAGGTTCTGCTGTTCATGATAAAGTGCTGAAGGCATATAAAAAGACACAGAACTGCAGCATAGTCACACTGATTCAGGCAGTAACAATGGATTGCTATGGACACTTTGTTGCAGGAATGTGTTTCTTTTTGGACATCTAAGACAGTTTAAACAAAACCACCTTCCTAAAGAGAGAAGTCTTCTACAGATTGTCCCAGATTTCTATGGCTGATAAAATACATAAACATGTTAGCATAGCAGTTAATATACAGTGCCACTTCCACTTAAATGCAGAGAAACATGTCAAGCTGTATGCGTACTTAGAACCAAACAAACTTTGTACTTGTCCCCCTGAGTTGCCGAGTGGTATAAAAATGCATAAGGGAATCTTACCAAAATAAGAGTGAGTGAACGGCCAGTTCGTTGTCCTTCAGAATTCCCTTCTTTACCAGTAATAAAATGGGAAACACAATAAGGACCTAATCCTGCCATCACTGAAGTTAGTGGCAAAAAAACCTCACTGACTTCAATGGAAACAAGGTAGCGTCCACAGTGATTATTTTCTTTTCATTGTAGACCAATTATGTGACGCCTACAGAAGCTTAAGAACACAGACTGTATTCTAATGTAAACTGTTACTGGTAATGGTCAAGTGCCTTTACTATTTTGTATTAGCCACAGTGATTTTATTCATGCTAATTCAGTAGTGCTGCAAAGATTCCTTTGTGCAGCTGTGGTAAGTGAAAGTTGTAGGTGTGTTTAGGTCCATATCATACAGGTCCAGATTCTCAGCTAGTGCTATTCAGTGGAGCTGTATCAGTTTACACCAGCTGAGGATATGACCTACAATCTATTAAGAGTCGCTCATATTCAGTGAATATCCACCACAGAATTATTTTAAGAGCATAGTTGTCTAAGACCTCCATAGTAAAATCAGGCAGCATTCACAACAACCCTGTGATTTAAAAACAAACAAAACACTGAGTTTACAAGATAGGTGTTGAAAGGATTGATGAAGAGGTAAAAATATCTTCTAAATCAGATTTTTCTCTCCAATTCAAATTATTTATCTGATCGCTTTTAACAAACCTAGAATAACTTAAATAATAAATACTGGTTTAAATTAAAGACAATACATCTTATCAAGAAATTGTTATCAGGATGCTAGTTTGTAGAGAAATAACTTTTTATAGTGAAATATCTGTAGTAATAACTGGCCATAAAAATAAGTGGTAACCTCCAACTTCCCAGCGTTTACAAAATTCAAGTTAACTACAAATTCAGTTTATCAATAATTCTATTTTAACCAGTTAGCCTACCCTACTGTCCCCAAGTCTTCTTACAAAGATCTGAAACAAAAGTCCATGTTCTTCTGATAGAAAATTCAAGAGTTCAGATTACCGGTACTTAGTTATTAAATCATTTCTTCTGTATTATTTATTCTGTTGGTTGAAGAAGATCTACAGTTTGAGAAGCTCGCCAAGCGATGACAAAGACTGTGACCTAATGGATTTAGTTGCATGCATCACTTCTGATTTTCATGCATACAACCTTATGTTTTCTATTTAAGATCAGTAGAACTTTGAGATATGCATGTTATGTATTCAGAGTGTAGGAATGTGAACCATATGTCTTCATGTGGGTCAGGTATATTTTTATGTAGCGAGCAGTGCATGGCCCTATTTCATATGGATCCTACCATTGCGGACTTTAAAAAAAAAAATCTTTCCAAAAGAATAGTCATTGATGGCAACTTGTTCACATTAAGATTTTGCATTCCCTTTCAAATATAGCTTTACAACATGGAGCAGAGCTGACTTGTTTTTTTCCCCAGCTTTAACACAGAGTGTATTGGATTTATGAGGACCGGCTTTTTTATGCCTTGCTGTCACAGCTTCTTCCTGAATCATCTATTTTTCCGAGATCCATTTCAATAAAGTCATCTGGGATTTCTTGTAACGCTTCTGACACATTTCCTTCCAAGCTCTGCTTTTGACCTTGACACAATACCGTCTTGCATGGTCTTACTAAGGACAGAAACACAGCGCCCAGTACCATGCCAGCAGCACAGGAGTAGAAAGCTGATCTGTAGTTCTGTGTCATGTCCACTAGCACACCTATGGAAGAAGCATTTTACATCGATTAAAAAAAAAATCACGTCACACTCATCTACCATTTTCTTGTCCATCCCACTAACTCAACACCCTTTCTACTTTTCAATATAGTTGCCACTGCATTTTTATGATATTGCAACTTGAAGATAAGTACCGGTAATCAGCTAGCTAACCATTAGGAGGTACCCTTTTAAGCCTTAAAATATCAAGGGTTTACTTAATCCATATTTAACTGATGGCTCCCAAAAAAGGGCTGACTTATTTTGCAGGATGTAGGGCTAGAAGACACTATTTAAATGAGTCGTCATCTGAATGTATGTTTCACTAAAACCTGGAAAGGATGCCAGCTTTAGTATTCTACCAGGAACAGGGAAGCAGTGCACTATTTTCCGTCCTTCAGGCTCCAAGACATTGTAGTGCTGACTCCCTTCTTTCCAGCTCAAGGGGGCTGGATGGGACATTGCTTGGAGCCTACCACTACTGTTCCTAATTCGCTGGAAAGGCAGTTAGAGAGAAATTTTTCTCATCTTCCCACCCACTTCCTGCCCAGGACCCAAGAGTAGCACTAACCACAGCCCCAACCCATTGCAACGTGGTTATTACGAAGAGGCATCAACAACAGTAGTAGCTGATTTCAGACATTCCAAAAAGCATTTATTTTAAAGTTACCTGCAAGGGGTGGTCCAGCCAGTCCAGATAAACTCTGAATGAACACATATACTCCAGCTGCAGAAGACATCCTGTCGATACCAGCCACATCATCTTCAGCTAACATGGGAATGTGTGTGCCTGCTACAGTTCCAAGCATGAATCCAAAAAATATGCTACATATCATCAACCCCCAAAATTCATAAGCAAAAGGGAAGGCAAACAGAGCGAGGGAGAGCAGAATGACACATATGAGTTCAATGTAAATCTTGCGGATAGGCTCCTTGTTGAGGACCCAACCAGCACTAATTCTTCCAAAGACTTCAGCAATTGCCATGGCAGACAATATGTATGCAGAATGATCCTTATTGATACCAAGACTGATGCTGAGCGGAATGATGTACAGTGATGGAGCAAAGAATCCTAGAGTAGCAAATAGACCAAAAAGTGCGTAACAAATAAAGCTGTGGTCTTTCATCACAGAGAAGTCCAGTAGTTGGATTTTTGGTTCTTTAGGGGAGCTGCTAGCTTCAACAAGCATCTGTACAGTTTCCTTTGGTTCTTCACTTTTCAGGTCTGCTTTGGTGTTTCCAGGCACACTGCTGGGTGAGGTAGATACTTCTACTCCTGAGTCAATTGAATCTAGTGAGGTGCGTGTTTGCTCATTTTCAAGCATGTACTTAGTCTCTGTATGCTCTTCTGTTGGCAATACTTTCACTATTTCCTGTGCTTTAATAATGATCGGTCGCAGCAGCGATCCACAGATGACAATGCCTAACTGTAGCATGCCCACTATCATGAGACTGTATCTCCAACCAATCTGTTCCTTCAAAGAGGTGATAGCTGGGGAAATAGGGAGCAGAGAAGAAATGATTAAATAACTTTAGTTATCAGAACAGGTAGCCTCCAAAATACGTGTGTTAAAACAAAATCAAAGTCAGTGCATCAATGTAGTCTCAAGTGACTTACTCAAGATCACTCAATGGCTCACTATCAGAATTCCAGATTCCCATGTTTAGGCTCAGTCTATGTTGTCTAGTATCGAGAGTCTGGCTTGTCATAACTACTGGATTTTCCCTCTCTTCTAAACAGTCTTTTCATTTCTTAACTGGCATGGACTGGTTGTCAATGTTCCCTCTAATTTTTTCCATCTGTGAGTGGAATAAATGTTATGTGCACCAAAGCATACGCAGATGTGCACCATCAACAAAAACACATGCTGCTGGCTGTGGATGCTCTGCTAATCAGCTGGGCAGCAACTGAATCTCTCCTGGGCGGCTACCCAAGTGTTCAGCTTACAGGGAACCCGCTCGTGATGGACTTTGACATGCAGGGAATAATTAGGCATTATTTGTAGTGAGTGTGTGAACACAGTTTTAAAGTTCCTTTCCTACCTAACCTCTCCTGAAACCAGTTAATCGGTGGGGGGGGGAGGAGAATCTCTATTCAAACTGTGCGCTGGTGCTTACAAGTCTTTCATTACAAGGGTTTCTTTAACTGAAAATGAGTATTTTGCGCTAATTGAAAGACCTTCACACCAGCAGACTGTATTATTTGATTCATAGAGAAATGGCCAATTTATCTTACTAGCACTTTTCAGACTAGCTAAATGAGGGGAAGCAAAAATGGGATATGAGTTTCCAAAATTACAGTACAAGAAAAATTATTTTGGAAT